TTATCTTTTTATAAATAAAAAATATAAGAGATAATATGATTCAAAATAAGGTCAAGTTTGGCTAAACTAAAAAAGTGCACTTATTTCATCTTTTTATCTTTTTTGGGTCACATCAATCAACATTTCCTCTCTACTTTTTCTACACATAATACAAAAAAAATAAAAAAATACACTTATTTAATCTTTCCAAACTTAATATAATTCAAAATATATAAAAAATTAAAAGTTGACTTTTTTTCCTATTTTCAAAGGACCCTATATCCCACGTCAATTTTAAATCCTCATATTTTTTTATATTTTTCAATTATTTAATATAAAATTATAAATTTCACCTCCAACGTCACGTCACACTATACTGCAGCAACGAATAACATCTAATGGGAACGACGTAAACACATAGCGTCGTACAAAATTATAGTCTGTATGTCAAAGTGGGTGGCCAGGCCATAGTCTTTTCATAAATTTTTACTACTATATTTTTTCTCCTTCCATAAAAAATTATGTTAAAACTTAAATAATTTATCAAATTTTTTATAATTTATATTTTTCAATTATTTAATATAAAATTTTAAATTTCACCTCCAACGTCACGTCACACTATACTGCAGCAACGAATAACTTCTAATGGGAACGACGTAAACACATAGCGTCGTACAAAATTATAGTCTGTCGGGAAGATAGATTGGTCGTGGCTGATGTCAAAGTGGGTGGCCAGGCCATAGTCTTTTCATAAATTTTTACTACTATATTTTTTCTCTTTCCATAAAAAATTATGTTAAAACTTAAATAATTTATCAAATTTTTTATAATAACATAAGATTTACACATATATAAGTTTTTGTGTGTCCTATACTTATGAGAAATTTAATTAAAAATTTAATAGATTATTTTATATTCATAGTATTTTGCTTTTATAAATATTATTCATTTTTATTTAAGTGCAGTTTGAGAACTCGACTCAAAATTAATTTTTTGACTTTTTAAATTTTTTTTTGAGTAATATCACTTTTTTATTTTTTTTTGTACGATTTAAAAAATAATTTTTTAACTTATATCTCAAAAAATAAAAAAATTAATTTTTAACCTATTAGAAACACTCAAATCAATATTATACGATGCGAGTCTTGTGTTTTTAAAAAAAATTACAAGTCAGTATATCTTTTTGATTTTTTTGGAAATCAGTAATAAATTTTATAAGAAAAAAGACTACGACCCCCTTTGAAAGCCATCCCCACGACCCCATTTGAATTTTGATTGGTCAAATTTTTTTTTTTTTTTTTTCTTCTCCCCCACTCACCAACCCCCACGTGTGTGTGGGGGGTGGTGGGAGTGGGAATCTGTGGGGGTCCTAATCACAGCTAATTTTATAAATATTAATAATTAAGTTCATAATTTTTTATCACTAATTTATAAATATTTTATAAAAGTTTGCAAATGTGTTATTTGCAGTGGCGAAGTTAAAAAATTAAATTAGAGGGAGTATTTATTAATTATAATTTTTTATTTAAAAAAAATCATGAGCAACATTAAGATAAAAATAATTTTATGAGATAAATTTAAACATAAAAAATTATATATTCATTATTAATAAGAACAAATCAAAATTTTATATTAGTGTGGAGTAGCTCGGTGTAAGATGATGATGTAAGTTTGCAATTTTAGCACAAATAATTATGGATCAAAATTCCTAATTTTAAAAGACAAAAACATATCATTTATAGCACAAATTATTATAAAATCTATTTAATTTTTATTTGACAAAAAAATATTAAAGAGATTACATTGCTTATAAATGATGTGTTTTGAATGAAAACTATTAAACAGTTTTAGAGTACCATATGGCGTTACTTACGTGATGATCAAGGTATAGAAAATCACAAATTACACCATGTGTGGTATGTCAACTATTTGAAAATGAGGAATTCATTATCCAATCTATAATATTTTTTGCTACACTATTGATTTATACTACTATATAAACAATACCATATAGTGTTATCAAAATATCAAATAACTACTTGTTATAAACAATACAATAAACCATTAGCTAAAGAATATGTTAAGATAAAAAGAAATTACATTTTATACATAACAATAACCAATAAAAAAAAAAGTTTTCAAAACTGAAGCCCTGGCCTGCTGTGCCTCCGCGCCTAGTTATTTGGTATTTTTTGTTGTGATTTTTTTATATTTCAATCATATTTCTCTACGTTGAGATTTTTTTTTTCTTTCGTGGATGTTTTTTTTTCTCTTTATTTGAAGGCTCTCTTTATTTCTTTTCGGATTTATTTTATATTTTGATGTATTTTATTGACTAATTTATTAAAATATATTATATTAATTTTAATTATTCTCATCATAAAAAATTACTTGAGAGAGAGAGAGAGCCCGACACATGTTGAGAAGTAGGGAAACACCATGGTATTGTTAGTTTTCATTGCATTACATATGCAAGTGTCGCAAAGTCATGAATGATGATTAAGACGTTAATTCATTGTTTTGCTTTCGATTTTTTTTCCTTGCAATACGGTACCAAAAAGCAAATGGTATAAAGGTTAGATAGGTCATCAGCCATATTGCATAATTTATTAGCTTAATAATGACTATTTATTAAGGCCAACTATGCTGCAGACCCCAGTGGGGGTCGCACCCCCAGTGAGATAGCGAGTCTCCACTGGCTGAAACTCAAAAAAAAATAAAAATAAAATAAAACAATTTTTTTTGGTCCAATCACGGTGCACCATCTCATTGGGGGTCGACCCCCAGTAGGGGTCTGAAGCATTTTTCTTATCAGCAGTGCTACAGACCCCAGTGACCCCCCCAGTGCCACGTGTCGGCCTGGGGTTGGCTGAAAACTCAAAAAAAAAAAAAAAAAAAAAACTGTTTTTTTTGGACCAATGGAAGGGGACCCCAGTACCCCCACTGGGGGTCCAAAGCTTTATTCTTTTCTTATTAAGGCAGTGTTTGAAATGATTAAAATAGCTCATCTCATGTTAAAATAATTAATAAAATAAAACATCCTATCATATTACTCTCTCTTTTTTTATACATCATTTCAATTAATTAAATGGTCACCTAAGCAAAATTTGTTAATTAACTTAAGGGTCAATTAAATTAACATTGTGGTGTTTTTTTATTGCGATTATTAATCTTAAGGATGGAAGGTAATTTTTTAAATTACAAGTTTCTTATTGTATTAACCCAAGGGGTGTGGGTTTAATTTACTGTAGAAAATAAGGTAAGAAAACTGTTTTTAGTGTAAATAAAAGCTCCCAAAAAATGGGGTTGACCAAACCAAAAAGTAAAATAAAATTGGAGTACATTTTGAGGCTCCTTACTCTCACATTTAAAATAGGAGAAATTACAATTGTCTTAGTTTAGCAGGTAATTTTTTGGCTAAAAAAAAGTCAAAAGTCAGAAAAAATTAAAATTAAAAAATAAATCATACGTATCAATTAAATTTTTTTCTTCTCACAACTATCTATTTAAATAAAAAAATATATTTTAAATATACTAATTTTTTCTCTTACAATTATCTATTCAAATTAAAAAAAAAAATATTTTAAGTATAATAATTTTTTTAAACTTATAAGAAAACTCAAAAGTAATATTACCAAACGAGATTAAAACTAATCACACAAACATGGGTGCAGCTGTTTGTTTCTGTGCAAGAAATTCACATAGGAGTTTTTTGGCAACAAGTTATAAATTGTCAGTTTAGCTAAAAAGTCAGTTTTTTACTAATTTTTCAAAACACTTTTAGCCAATATGATTTCATTTTTCTACTATTTTTTTATTTATTATTTTTAATCTTATATAATTGTTAGACCCTCTTGGTTGAACACACACATGACGTATGTCTGGTTAGAAAATAAGTTTTTTTGGGTGACTTTTATTTTTTGGTTCAAATGTGAGATGAAAAAAATTATTACAACATACTTGTGATGATTTTTTTTTTAATGAAAAAATATGCAAAAAATAGAATGAATGAACTCATTTAGAAATTAGCTATTTTAATTGATTTTTTTATAAAAAAAACTTGAAAAAATAGAGAAGATAACGTGACAACATTTTTTTGACTATTTTAATCATTTTCAAATAAGGTGGAAATCTTTTCACCTTATAATATTTGTTAACTTTGGGGCGCTGTCTTGGACCTGCGGGAGGATAGAGAGGATTTTCCTGTAACCAAAAAAAAAAAAACTTCTGATAAGACTTCATCTTATATATATATATATTTTATTTGAATTATATCAAATTTTATTTAAATTAGATAACTTCTCTATCACATTCTAATTTTTTTTTCTCCATAAAATATCATAAATTATACTTATATCCTCCCAAACAACTTTATTTTTGGATCAAAACAGAGGGAAAAATAAATAAATAAATAAAGAAGAACAAGAAGATTACTCGTTCACTATCCACCCAGCAATTATTTTGATATATTTCGCTAAATTGCAATTTCCTTTAAAAACATATTCACTCTATTTGGTTTTTATTTTCAGAATTCACTTTTTAAAAAAATTTATTTATTTATTTTTCATATTTTTTTTTTGTTTTCGGTAAATTTTTTTAATATTTTATTTAATTTTTAAATTTTTTAGACATACCGGCGGGCGGCAGTCTCGCCTTGGCCGCCTGCCGGACCTCAACACATACCTCCTCTCCTTTCACCTTGGTCTCACCTTTCCGATGCTCTAGTCCATACCATTGAGGTGCCAAAGGGCTATCTGGTGGAACCCTTGTAGGCACTTCATTCATGTCGAAAGTCATTTTCGCTATAATATCATCACCACCTCCATCGGCGTCGTCCAAGTCGGCAACGGCAGCTTTGGAAGCTACCCTGTCATCTCCTCCTCCTCACTCACCTCGGTTGCTCCATCTTCTCATCCACTCTCCAGCACCACTCACTCTCAAGTGTGTTGGTGATTGATTCAACACACTTTCTCCAGAGTCGACAAGTCTCAGGCATACAATTCACATTCGGGTGATACACAAAGCGAACTTCAATCATGGCTAACAACACCCCACCCCTCATCTTCCTCCTACTCCTTTCCTGCGTCTTCTCCGGCCGACTCATCTCCGACGGCGTCCATGACGGCTCTCTTGCTCCGCCGCTCTTACTCCGCCTAAATAACCCCTTCCGATCATCCGACACCTGCGACCAGACCTATGACTTCTTGCCCTGTTCCACCACCGTATTAGGCAACCTCTTCCTCATCATCGTCTATGGCTATCTCATGTTCTTCCCCGCCATGAATCTCTCCAATGGCAGTGAGCTCTTGCTTGCGATCCTGGGCCCTGGTATCGTCGGCGGCCTCTTACTTCCCATTCTCGGCACTCTTCCTGATGCCATGCTCATTCTCGTATCTGGACTCTCTGGAACTACAGAAACTGCTCAAAGTCAGGTCTCAGTTGGAATGGGTTTACTTGCTGGGTCTACAGTCATGCTCCTTACAGTAATATGGGGAACTTGCGTAGTTGTTGGCAAGTGTGACCTCCAGGATTCAATTGCAAAAGATGGAGAAGATACAAAGGGATTTAGCTTAACTGGTATGTTCCTGGGCTATCTTATCATCTTTTCCTATGAACAAAAATTATGTAGTGCATGAAGCAAAACTATTATAAACTTGGTATTTTCGACACTGAAGTGATATTCTCTCTCTCTCTCTCTCTCTCTCTCTCTCTCTCTCTCTCTATCGGTGGTGAAGAACACTTGGGTGATGTTGGCATATGCCTAACTGAAGTTATGGCTCATTGATACACAAATTATGAATTTTTTGATGTCATGCTTGTAGTTTTTTTCTTCTTTATCCCGATCTCATTCAGGTTTTTACTCCCAAAAAAAGGGGTGATGGTTGGATGCATATTCATAGTACTTGATTTGTTATGGTACCTTGATTTTAGTATGAAAGATGGTGGTCAGATACATGTTTAGACATCCTACAACCCATTGATTTGTTCATTTTCTTGGACTGTTGCCATCTCAGGAAGAAAATGTTTAGGCAAGTTTAAGAATTGTTTGATTAATGATTGTAGTGGATTACATAATCCAAAAGCTACCCTCCATTTTTGCAGGATCTGGTGTAAGCACTGACATTTGGACTAGCTACGCTGCAATGATCATGGCTGTATCTGTAATCCCATTTCTTGTTGTCCAAATACCACAACTTATGAATTCGACTTCAGCAAAACGCTTAGCAGTCTTGATTGCACTTGTTGTCTCTTTCTCACTTCTGATTTCATATTGTGTTTATCAGGTAAATGTATTTTCTATTGGGCAATTATCTGCCATATGCATTATGCTCAAAATTTTTGTTCAATCCTATTTCTTTTGTCATTAGTTAATTGTAGCTATATATTGATACAAAAAGTTAGGTTACTTCTGTTCAACTAAACTTTAAAAGTCTCAAAAATGTGCATATTGCAAGTATGGTGTACCTAGATCCCAAGTTGATACCTTTTCTATCCTAGATGACAAATCCTTGCCCTACAACCTTCATCCTATAAATTGTCATTTTACAAAACTTTTGTCTTTCTTTCCCCATGGAATTTTCTTCTACTACGTTGAAAATTTAATCACAGTGAAGTTATCTAGTAATAATCTATTACCATGGGAAAACCAAGTTGTTCCAGCTGCTAAAGCCTCAAATGTAATGGGACATCTTGCTATGAGAGAGACATTGAAACTGCTAAGCCTTTTGAATGATCATATTTCTGGACTAGTTGATGTTCAGTTTGGTGTGAGCTTAAATTATAAAATAAAAGGCAATATCCCATCCAGTCAAGAGGGTCAGGACTCGGGACCATCAATGCTGTTACTAATGGTGAAAAATGTCTTACAACAAACATGGACAAAAAGGAAAGTGGAATTATCTTCATGTTTATGCTTGACTTCTTGTAACGAAAGGGAAATTCAATTTGGGAAGAGTGGACAAAAGATAAAATAGACAGAAACTTCAATACTTAGCAATGCCAACTCCTTTGGACAGGCTGTATGAATACTCCTGACATCCTCCATCAGATAGATCAAGACAACAGCTAAATTGACCATAAAGAGCCTCTCCGAACTTCTCACTCCGTGTTCCTTTTGGCTTTTCTTTTGCCCATATGACACCTTTAGTTTGGATCAAAGCACCCTTTCATTGTTTATTCACTTTCATAGTCAAACATGACCATATTTTAGACTTTCCATATTTTATCAAAGGTTTTGAATACCAAATATAAGGCATAAATTCATTTGCAATGTGGTGTTGCTAAACTTTCCATTTTTATCAAGAAACTGTAATGTACTAAAGCATCAGATTTGGCTTGTCCCTTGTCTTGATTGGGAAGCAAACCCTTGTTAACTGAGTCTTCGAAAGTATATATATACCATTTGGCTTTTTAATGTTCCTCCCATTCTCTTCATGGAAATTTTGTTACCAATTGCCATATTATATGTTAGAGTATATAATATATTAGTATCTAGTGAGCCTCCCTTTCGGTGCTAGTGCTTCACTTTCCATCATGAGCTCAAACATGTATTGTCTGTAACCTTCTCCTATATAAAGGAGCCACTGAACAATTACATTACATCAAATTAATATCAATTGAATACATACAATTTTTTCTCTTTGTATTTCTCTCTTTATACATTGAATTCTAATATGATATCAGAGCTAGGTTAAGAACCTAGTCATTCTGCTTCACCGGGGGGTGGCACCCTTGCCTTGGCCGCCCGCCGGACCTTTACACATACCTTCACTCCGCTGCCACAAATTATTCTTCTCGATCTTGATCTTCTTGTTGTTGCTGCTGCAGTAGTTTCTAACAAATTCCATGGCAGAACTTCGCTTTCAAGATCAAAGCATCACCACCATCATCCATTTGAATACATGATCTTGCCAAATGTACCTTAACCTGTGGGACCCTAGCTTCCAGACCCACCTCTACCAAACACTCCGACGCAGAGGATTCCCTCCTCACACTCACAATCTCAGCACCAGAGAGGCTTGATGACAAGCCGGTGGAGCTAAGATCGTCACCTCCTCCGTCGCTCACAGCAAGTGTTGCCATAGCCGATCTACCAAGGTTCGAACACCCCGCGAAAGCCGACTAGGGTCGCCGCCATCATTAGCCCACGCAATCGCCGGCAACGACGATGCCTTGAGCGAGATCCTCCTTCGCACCCCCGTGAAGTCTCTGGTTTTGTTGCTGCATGTTGGCAATGACATTGAGGACTGAGTTGACATTGTCAGGCGCTGCTGCCATGGCTAGACATGTGATGCTTCCTGCTGTGCTGTGGATCAAGTAGTTGTCTGGTGGTAGCGTCACGTTCATACCTGTGAACATAAGTGTTACCTGTGAACATAGCGTCACGTTCACCGTCGCGTTTACACCAACCAAGCACCACCACCTCACTTCCTCAAACAACAGCATGCTCCCAATCCCAATCAATACACTGATTTCACCGACAACCTCTGCGTCCCCAGTGATGTTATAGCTGAGCTAGAATGGTTCTCGGACTTCGTCGACGACTCGTTGTGGTTCACGAACAACTTCCTCGACGAATCGTTCGCCGGAACTGTAAATCTGAGTCCTGAAACCTCATTTCAATCAAGCCCTGTATATGTCATCATGGTCTCCACTTCTTTTTCCTCTTCTCTTCTCCGATGCTCAGATTCTCCAACCCATACTTTTTCTTTTTCATTCTTTCCACACACTCATGTTCCCCACTCAACTTTCTTTTCCTTTTTTTTTTTTTTTTATATTTATTTTACTCCATCTTTTGAAAAGAAAACGAACCACCAACTGGTTTGCACACCCATCATCTTACTTTTCCATTAGTGGTAGGACCCGCCCAAACAAATTTGAATCTCACATTTCCTTTTTATTTTTTATTACTTTAACATTCACACACTTCTCTTCAACTTTATTCACACACTTCTCTTCAACTTTATTTTCTTTTATACTTTATTTTCTCACACTACCTCTCTATTTTTAGCCTTCCATCCGGAGAACATGGGTATGAGTCAAAAAAAAAAAAACTGCACACCAAACTCATTTTATTCATGTCGGGGCTCACCCCGATCCACATTTTACACCAAAAAAAAAAAAAAAAAAAAAAAAAAACCAACACCAACAACAACAAAGACCACCATCACAACAACAAAGGATTTTTCTTTTCCCTTCTCTACTTTGTCGCTGGTCTATTCTTCTTGCCTCCGTCCTGGGCGACCCTTGACGGTGCTGCCTCCGTGTTTCCCACGCCGCCGAGCACGTTGCCTCCCCGCTACTCCTCAAACGCCACATATGGCGGCCCTTCAAATCGGAACATAACGGTGGCCTTCCGTTTCAGCTCCTTGTTTTCCGCCTTCAGCACATATATCTCTGCTCGCGCATCCTTATACATACGCTGGAGCATAGCCAGTTGGGCATTTAACTGCTGCACCTCATTTGTTCTACTCTGAAGTCGGTACGGCAAGTTTGTAACCGCAATCATGGTCTCCACACATGACTTCAATGTATAATGATTGGCCTCAATATCTGATTGCGCTGCCATTATTTGCTCAACTGACAACATCGGAAAGTTCAACGGCACAAAACCAGGGGAGCTTGGTCCAGGGGCGTTTGGTTGAGGTTCAAGGGCAACCGCGCCGGTTATCTCTCTTGTGGATTCGTTGAGGTCCGGAAAGAGAGTGAGCGGACTACGGGAAGAAGAGGCCATGTTCTGGGTTGCTGAGTGTTTCAGAGAAGCAGCGATTTCAGACTGGTAATGTCAGAAAGGGTTGGTTGCAGAGTGTTTCAGAACGAAGATGTTCAAAGGTTTCAGACTAGTTTGGTTTGCACAGCCTCCGCCTCGGTTTATATAGACAATGATGAAGAGGACGACACGACGCGTTACAGGACGCTGTACTATATCAAGCCTACATACTTATGGGAAATCAGATTTATCCACTTCACACCTCCAGATACGGTCAAGTTTTTATGTTTTCCTTGGCTAAACCGAAGTCTACTTTTAAAGAACAGAGTTTCTTTATTGGGCAAAGTACTCTATTATGTGATTATATAAGAGGATGAATTTCCACATTAAATGCAAGGATTTCTAACATTTCCTTAATTAGCCCACATCCCCTTCGTAAATATGTGTTATGAAGAAACTGTTACCCCACTTCTCCATTAAAAATGTCCATGTTATTAATCAAGGGCCAAAAGTGGAAAAAAAAAAAATTGAAAATATGTTTAAGCCTAAATGGGTAAGTGGGAAGGGGTTTAAAAATGAGAAGTGAGAAAAAGTTTATCAATATTTTAGGATTTTTTATTTTAATTTTTATTATAATGAATATTTATTGTGTATTTGTCATGCATAAATGTAATCAATAAAATGATAAACAAAATTGATAAAGAATTTCCCTTTGATTAAAAGCTACTTTCAATCTTTACATTTTATTGGAAAAATTTTGTTGTCAACGTGAACTATTTCCAATATAATTTACCCTTTTTTTTTTCAAATGAAATTTTTTTTCACTAATACTAACCGATGGGGACAAATTGGTAATGTTTATTTTAAACCTTAAGGAGGGGAATTTGTAAAATTTTTCTAAAATGTGCAGGGGTGTCAATGTATTTAACCTACGTGAGGGCAAAAATTGGTATTTTAAAAAAATTTAAATTGTTGAAGGGGGAAAGTGT